CTAATATTCCTCCGATCCCCGTCGATCCTCTCGGCGACTAATTTATTCCAAATACTCCACTGAAAAACACGAAACAGAAAAGAGGCACAGTACACTTCTCGCAGATTCTCGACCGTTCCAAAAATCCTTAATGCGGCAATAACGACTCTAAAGCTTTATTATTACACTACTACTTGAAGCGAAAAGAAACAAGGGAGAGAGAGAGAGAAAAAAAAACAAAGAACAAAACAAACGGTCGCAGTTAATTGACGGTTTATCACGGTTAAACGAGGGCCATTAATCGGACACCGACATAATTATCATCGACTATTATTAAATTCTGTTGGTCCGCTTTGCACACACGAGGCAAGCGCCCCGGTATGCTACACGCTCTCCCCTTGCACGCTTTACTCCAGATATATTTATCTAACGTGGCTACACAGAGAGAAAGAGAGAGAGAGAGGAGAAGAGGAGGAGAGAAAAGAAAAAAGAAGCGAAAGAAAAAAGAAATGGACGAAGGAAACATTACGCCTACATTTCGCACGAGCTCTCCTGGACCCACCCATTGGCGCGCGAGTGTGTGGGTTTGCCGTGGCGTGGCTCACGCGCCCATACATCAAGATCACGTTAAAGCCACTTTCTTAAATCAAACGGCGTGCCATTTACTTTATTTATCCGTGTTTCCCTCGGTTTTGTCGCAGAGGGGATTATCGTATCCCCGTTGAAATCGAAACTTTTCGCGGCACGCAGCTTTTGTCACCCGCGAACGTTACTTCAAACACGATCTTTTTTTCTCTCTTTCTTCATTTTCTCCTTTTTTCCATCCGTTCGTCTGACGACTCTATCAGACTACACGCGCACAGAAAGTAGATGTGTATACGTAACAGCGGACTATTACTCCGAGCTATTATTACCCATTGGAACTTTCTAATATTGGACAAGAACGATATTTCACGTAGGACGTAAATAAAGTGGAAAGTTTAACGATTAACGAGCCGCGGTGGTAGATCGTGGAAGATTTAGGGGTATTTAAATGGGGCACGATTGAAGAACGATTCCGAGAGTACCTTTGTAACACTTTCCCAATCTTTCTGCCGATAACATCGGCTCTTGTCGTAGGGCAATTCCGGGAGAGACGGACCAGGCAAGCATTTCCCACATTGTCCGTCAGATACGGAAGAAAAAACACCGAGAGCCACGCTCGATCGCTTTCCGTAGAACAAGTGTGAAACGAAAGAATACCGACGCGTTCCAAATTTGCCGGATAATGCAGGAAATACTTGCCTGGTCCGTCTCTCCCGGAATTGTCCTATCGGCGGATATTTGAATTTTGCTCGTTTCGCGGGTCGACAGTGTCTCGACGATCGTTCAGAACGTCGATATCTCGAGCGAAGGGTATCAGACGTGCTGCTGGGGATTTTTCTGGAGTGGACTGTTCCCTTTTATCAATAACGCGTGCAACGTGTTGAAAGATGAAATTACGAGAACTACGTGTGTCGAATGTGTACACACTGTGGGACGTCTGGCTCGCGACTCAGGCCAATTTACCCCTCTGTATTACTTAACATTAATTGTTCTCGTCTCATTAGTCCTAACAGACTAGCGGTGTACTCGTAATTATTACGGCACCGCGTTAATAACTCCGCATTACGGATACAAGTTCACCAACGTCGGTTTAATATCGGTAATTAAGCACGTTAACATCGCGATCCTAACGAAGGAAATTGAACGGTGTTCTGTAAAGCGTATCTCCACATTGAAAACCGAACTTCTCCTCACACATTCTCCCCCGTTTCCGTCGTTCTTCCCCTGCGGTGAAAATTCCGTGCCTCTCTTCGTGTGTACGCGCACGTGTGAGAGGAGGAGATGGGAATCGAGAACGTGGAGAAGCGCTAATGAAATCCGTCAACGAGTGACCGTGCAGCGGAACGAGACGACGACGACGAGGACATCGTCGGATGGCGCGAGTCTGTTAATTTTTCCTCGGAAAGGAGGTAGTATGTAAGAGGGTCGAGGGAAGAGAGAGCTCGGCCGCACGATGCAAATACAATTACACCGCGGGAAGAATGTTCTAATTGACCAGTATGCGGTGAGGTTTAACAAAAATGCCTGGCGATCCGAGACGACGTCCTCTACGAATATATATCCCCCGCTTTCATCCCCGTGCAACTGGGACAAAAAGCCGATGATACGAAGTCGATGGCCGAACGAAGAAAAAGGCAGAGAGAGAGCGAGTTGGACCTCTTCTTCGCGAAGGGTGCACACGCGGAGAAACGAAAAGGAGAAGAGAGAGAGAGAGAGAGGAAGAGAAACGAAGAGGAGAGAAAGGAGTGGACCCTGGTCTGGGACAAAAACGTCCGAACTGCTGCAGTCGGTTCCCGAACAGTCACAGATCCCACAGCGAGCGATAAAGGTAGGGCCAAACGAAACGAAGCGACGAGGAAAGACGGGGGAAGGACGGAAGAAACGAAAGATAGGAAGAAGAAACTGGGGACCCGAAACAAGACGAAGAGGAAGGAGGGAGAGAGAGAGAGAGAGAGAGAATCTGTTCAGAAATGAAGCAGCAGTCGCACCGGGGGTAGAGATGGACCGACTTTTACCTACGTCCGCTGCTGTTTGTATGCGTTCACCCGAGATCAAGTTTTTCTCGAGTTCTGAACCTCCGGCAGCGAGCCAGCAGCAGCCAGCAGCCCCGACTCGAATCCAACTTGATTTCCTGGCACGCGGTTCATCTTGTCGTTTATTCTCTCCCACTCCACCTTTACTAACTCCCTCTCTCCCTCTGTCTCTCTCTTTTTCTCGCTTTCTATACCGAACAGGTCTCTCTTCGTTCCTCGTTTCGTCCTTTCGCTTTTGCCCGATCATCCCCACTTATGTATCGCGGGAGGCACGCTCACTGTGTGTACACTGAGAGGATCGAGGGATGGTCCGATCCCTAGCTATAGAAACACGTGCCCCCTTTCCAAAACGATCCAAACTATTTCCTCTCCACCTATTTCTACACGGTTCGTTTCAGTGCCTTCATTCGAAGATTATACATGGTGCGGCTGCTGGCGAGGGCAGGCGTACAGGTGGTTCCAGGGAGACTCTACGGTTGATTTCGATCGGTGAGAAGTGTCCTCTATCGGAAGATTCTTTGGAAGGATGGATTCAATGAAACGCGGTTCCGCGCAGTCACGATCCTTTCGTTTTTCCCCTGAATTGTACACCCGGTTCGTTGATTGCGAAGGTTAATAGCCTTCCGATAAGAAAGAGATCTACGATCGTTGTAGACTTCTTTCGGGATAGTTCGCGCTAACGAAACCTGCTTTCGTTCTAATTCGAAGATTTTCGATGGCGTAATTATCAGATTCGAGGTTTTGGGATTCGACGAGACGTTTGCACCGTAGAAATTCGTCGAAAAGAAGTTTGATATTTGCGATTGAGGAGGAAGATCGGATTTTGCGTACAGCTAAAGAATCCAGAAATTGCGTAATAAAGATGTATACACAATGCGGTATCACGGTTTCCCTTCCCTGTTACTCCACTCGCGTTCATCCAACCATTGTTTTCTGGCTGTGATGCTCCCGTCTCCCAGATTCTTCGACATCGGACGCGACTCTCTATCGTTGACCCTAATTACGCTAGGATCATTCTCTTACGTAACACAATTCCCAAACAGACGAATTATCGTGTCTACCGTGTTGTAAGACGAGAAGCCTGTACGTGTAACGCGTCCTAACGGTGGATTAATAAATCTATTCCGTCGCGTTCCGCTGGTGATAAACGAGCCGCCTCGGATAAGCCTCTCCCCGCGGTTAGCCGGGCCCTCGTCGATTCTATCCGCCTTTTTCAATACCGCATTTTTTTCCGCGACCTGTAGCAGAACCGGAGGTTCAGCGCGGGGCGAGGGAATGTTACAGTATGGAATGTTAAACTACTCGTATTATCGATGGCGCTGAAATTCCCCCGTGCATGTATATTGGACGCTTAACTGGAACATTTTTGAATCACCGTGTACGCGTGTACGAAGTGTTGTGCTATTTCTGGGAGAAAATTTGAGGAGTGATTCTAGAAGCAGAAATAAGAAGAAAATGAAGAATAGAAAAATTGCGTTTGAAGCTTCGTTTCGTTGTTATTAACGTTTGAAAATATCCCTGTAGCAGAGCAACTCTTGTTACACTATTTTTTATATTATTTTCAAACGTTGATAACTAGAAAACGAAGGCTCAAACGCAATTTTTTTATTCTTCATTTTCGTCTTGTTTTGGTTCGTAGAATCACCCCTTAAATTTTCTCCGAGAAGTGGCTAAATTTCTTGTATATATACAGGGTGTGTATTAAACGTCTAACGAGTAGAAATTAGAGAAAGATGTTGTACGACCACGCGCAGGTCGTTTGAAGCTCTGTTAACCCGTCCGGTTTTACTATATCGTCGAAAAGACGTAAAAATATTTAATTACAGAAAAATATCGATGTAAGTTGAATTCTTAACAAATCTCTACGCATATTTTACTCTCGCGTACCATCGATGGTGAACGAACGTGTGAAAAAGTTACGTATAAAAATTTGCAATCTACGTTTCCTCCTTGTATATTACGCGAAAAGTAAATCAATTACTCCCTCCTCCATTATTCATAGCATTATAATTTTCCTGTGCCGCCTGTTCATTACGGAAAATCTCGAGCCACACCGTATATACACCCGATCTATCCGTCCTTCTCCCCCGGTTATACCCGCTTTCGTAAGCCAGCGGAACACCATTTCAGAACACCGTAGGAATTTTACCGTCTCGTCGACATGTGCAGAGCTCGATGTGAAGGAGAAGGAAGAACGAACGAACGAACGAACGAGCGGAAAAAAAGACAGGCTAGAAGCATCGGTTCGCGGTTTCTCTACCGGCGAGAAAGAAAGAACGAAAGCACAAGAGTGTAGGAGAAGAGAGGAAAGACGAATCTGCTCGACAAAAAGCGGCGAATGACTTTCAGAACGCGGCGGATCATTAATATCACCGGGATGATCAATCAAAGACGTAAACTTACTTTGGTGGATGTCGTACTGGGCCTGGTACCACCAACACCGATGGCGTACAGCTCCACCTCGTACCATTGGATTCCTGTTTCCCTGTCCAACGCGGCAGCCGTCGACAATATACCTGTCTTCGTGTCCACGTCGAACAATCTGTCGACCTGCGGACCGCCGCTACCAGCGGTCACGTTCGTCACGTAATATTCGAGATCGATGTTCGATCTACGGCTTCGTGCACTCACTCTTAATATACTCGTACCGATCGGTTCGTTCTCGTAAACGCTACCTTCGATTTCACCCCGATGCTCCCAAATTGGCTGATCGTCACCCTCTTCGCCCGGCACTATCAAAGTCAAATAGGTCTCCGTGGACCTTCTTTCAGCTTGTACAGCCTCGTCTGTCGCGCGAATACCAACTTGATACTTGGAGACCCGCTCGAAATTGCTCTTCAGGGACCTCGGTAATCTCATGGTCAAATGACCGGTGTTCCTGTGAATTCTGAACATGTCCGAGTAATTCACGCTGGAACGGAGCAGCTCGTAAGTAACAAGTCCGTTCGTACTGGAATCCAAATCTCTCGCGACTAATTGAGTGACGGTGATCTCCTTTTGAAACTGATAATTCCCCTTCAACGGTAACACCACAGCTGACATACTGACGAAAATCGGCGCGTTGTCGTTTATATCCTCTACGATCACTATCACAAGTTTCTCCGCCGATAATCTAGCGCTGGACGGTTGCGCACTATCGGTAGCTACCACTACCAACTTGTACGTGTCGACTTCTTCTCTGTCTATCGGCAGCAACGTGTGTATAACACCTGTCGATGGATTTATACCGAACCTTCGAACCTGATCCTCCGGATCTTGACTCGCGATGGAATATGTGACCACGCCGTTCTCGTTCGAATCAGGATCCTCCGCTGTGATAGTGACTATAGGCGTATGAACGAGGATGCCCTCTCTAATTTGTCTAGCTATCGCGGTGTTCGGGAAGACCGGAGGATTGTCGTTGGCGTCGATCACCTCGACGATCAGCGTGGTCACAGAGCTGAGCCTAGGATGACCCCCGTCGCTGCAGGTCACGTTCAGAGTGTACTTCTCCAGTTCCTCGTAATCCAGCGGCTTCCTCAGGTATAACGTGCCCGTCAACGGATCGATGTAGAAGGTGTCCCTTCTGTTACCAGCGGATATGGCGAAGGCCAGCTCGCTGTTCGGCCCGAGATCGTTATCCGTGGCTTTGAACCTGAGTAGTTCCGTGTTGGTCGCGGTCGTCTCTAGAACGGAGATCCTTGATTTATTGTCGACGAACAGGGGCACGTTGTCGTTCTCGTCGAGCACTTCTACGTGAACGGTGGTACGCGATGAGAGGCGTGTCTCTAAGCCAGCGTCGTGAGCTACCACGGTTAACACGTAAGTGTCCGATGTTTCACGATCCAATTCTTTCGTCAGAGAGATCTGTCCGGTAGCTTCGTCTATGGCGAAATGTCCGTTCTGATTTCCATCTTCCAACGAGTAAAACACGTCGCCGTTCAGTCCTTCGTCGGCATCGGTGGTGTATACTCTCAGCAATTGCGTTCCCCTAGCTGCGCCCTCGTTCACCTGAACCCTGTACGGTAACCTCTGAAACTGAGGGATGTTGTCGTTCACGTCTGTCACGTAGATGACAACCTTCACTCTGTCGCGAAGACGATTCACTCCGTTGTCGGTGACGGTAGCCTCCAAGGTGATGTAGCTGCTACCTGTGTTAGTGACAAGCAACTCCCTGTCGAACACCCTCAACGACTTGATGAAACCGTTCCTCGGGTCGACGATGAAGTCCTGTTGACTAGTAGGCAGGGAGAACATCAGATCAGCGTTACGACCCACGTCTCTGTCCGTGGCCAATAATTTCCCGACGAACGTGTCCGGTGGCTCGTTCTCGCGTAGGTGGAAGATGAAGCTGGAATTGGTGAATTCCGGCGCGTTGTCATTTTCGTCGATTATGTGGACGACCACTGGGACCACGGAGCTCCTCGAAGGGTTACCCTGATCCGTCGCTGTCACCTCCAAAGCGTAGTAATCCTGTTCCTCTCTATCCAGCACGTTCTTCACGTACAACTGTCCGTCCGGGAATATACCGAAATGACTCTCGGTGTTTCCATCGGTGACGCTGTACAACACTCTACCGTTTCTGCCTAGATCGACGTCAGTGGCAGTTAGAGAGAAGAATCTGTCGTTCACAGGCGTAGATTCGGGCAGAGAAGTCTCGTAGCTGGTCAATTTGAACACAGGTGTATGATCGTTCACGTCTTCGATGGTAACTCTAACCTGATGCTGAGCGGACAACGGCTGATTACCGGAATCCGTGGCAGTTACCTCGAGGTGTAGAACGGTGCCTGGAGCAGCTCTGATAGGCTTGTCCAGGTAGATGATACCTGAATTTTCAGCTACTCTAAATTGTCCACCGGGGTTGTGCGTCAGGGAATAAACGATCCTCGCGTTGGCGCTCGCGTCTCGATCTTTAGCTCTAGCCAGGCACACTTCCTGTCCAACAGCCGCGTTCTCCTTGAGAAACACCTCGTCGCCGATCTCACCTTTCGGGAACCTCGGCGGATTGTCGTTCACGTCGAGGACCGTGATATTCACCGCGGTTTGCCCGTAAGCGAGCCCAGCTCTCGCGGATAATTGCAGACTGTAGTAGGCCAGCTGTTCGCGGTCCAGGCAGCCGGAGGTTGTGACGGTCCCCGTTGCCTCGTCTATCTTGAAGCTACCCCTTGGATCGCCGAACACAATGGCGTAAGAGATCTTGGAATTACCGTACTGCGTGACCTGTACAGTACCCACGTCCCTGCTAAACACGTTCGACGTCGAAGTGCATTCACCTCTGTCCTCGGCTATTCGAAACTCGTAACCGTTGTAAGTGTCGAACTCGAGATGCTCGAGATCTTCCTCGCGTATGATCTCTACCAAAGCGTTCCTCGTTGCAGTCTTGTCGCCGGTGTCTTTAGCCGATATGTTCAATTCGTAGAGAGTCTTGTGAGCAGCTCTGAGAGAGCCCTGAAGAGTGATCTCTCCGGTTCGCTCGTCCACGGCAAAAAGTCCCTCGCCGCCAGATTCCAGCGAGTATCTCACTTGAGCGTTCTCCCTGGCGTCGGCATCGGTCGCCGTCACCTTGCCCACGGAGCTTCCTGGCGGGGCGTCTTCTGGTATGGGCATCAAGTACCTCCACGGGTAAAAAACCGGCGAATTGTCGTTCACATCCTCCAGAGTTAATATCACAGTCGCCGTGGACGTCTGCGGTGGTGTACCTTGATCCTTCGCGATCACCAGAATCCTGTACTCGCCGGTGCTCTCTCTGTCTAGGTTAACCTTCGTCGTCAACTGACCGGTTAGCCCGTCCAGCGCGAACGTTTTCGGATAATCTCTGGTTACGCTCGAGTGGAAGCTGTAAGCAACGCTGCCGTTCGTCCCTTGATCGTTGTCCACCGCTGTTAGAGTCGCGACTAGACTCTGCGGCGGTGTGTTCTCCGACAGAGTTACCTCGACGACGTTCTGCGAGAACCTAGGCGCTTCGTCGTTCTCGTCTAGTATGGTAACCTTGAGATGAGTGGACGCGTACTTGGGATTAGGACCGCCGTCTCTGGCCGACACGTGAAGCTCTATGCTACCTTGAACCTCTCTGTCGAGGGTGGCCACAGTGGTGACGAGACCTGTGTCTTGATCTATCGAGAACCAACCCTGCTCGTTTCCCGTGTCGAAGTCGTAATAAATCCTCGCGTTCAACCCGGAATCGGCGTCGGTTGCCGAGATGCTCGCGACGAAGCTGCCGGTAGGCGAAAGTTCCGACAGCACGGCGGAGTATTCGCTCTGCTGGAAGACCGGTTCGTGATCGTTAACATCGTTCACGTGGATCACGAGGTAGGCGGTTGCCGATCGCGGCGGCGTTCCTTTATCGGTCGCGACCACGGTCAGGTTGTATTTCGGTATCTCCTCGCGGTCCAATCGACCGTTCACACGCACGATGTCGAACCTCTGCGTATTGTCCAGACGGAAATGGGCCAATTCGTTTCCAGCACGAATTTCCACGGTGGTCTCGCCGTTCAAACCTTCGTCGTTGTCGATCACAGCTACCGCGGCGACGATCGAATCCTTGGCTGCGTTCTCGTCGACCGTCGCGAAACCCGGCGTAGAGGGGAAATAGCTGAACTTTATTTCAGGATCGTGATCGTTCGCGTCCAATAGATTCACCGTTACATAGGTCCGGCCATCCTGCCTCGGCGAGCCGTGATCTCGAGCAAAGACCGTTATGACGCAGCTCTTTGGACAACCGCCACCTGGACGTGCCGCGATCGTGCAGCTCTGTTGAGGACAATCCAATGGTTCCACCGTTGTGATCGTACCGGTCTCTGGATCTATCGTGAACTGTCTCTCGTGATCCGGTAGATAATAGGTTAGCTTGGAGTTGTCCTCGGAATCTTTGTCGGTTGCGTGAACGGTCAACACTTTCGTACCAACTGGAGCACTTTCGTTCAAAGCGACCACGTAGTCGCTTTGTTGAAAGATCGGTGGATTGTCGTTCACGTCCAGTACGGTCACGTTTACCAGAAGGTAGCCCAATCTGGGCGGACGACCTCTGTCCCTCGCGCAAACGTTCAACGAGTAGAACTCCACTTGTTCCCTGTCTAGTTTACCGGTGGTCTCTAAGTGTAGATAGGACGTTTCGCCTGTAGGATTGCCGGTTACCTCCAGTCGAAACTTCCCGTCCGTGTTGCCGTCCACGATGAAATAATCGTCCACAACACCGTTCTCCAAAGTGTCTTTATCGGTTGCAGCGTCGAGCAGTAATTTCGTACCGACAACCGCCGATTCGGAGAAACTCACGGCTATACCAGATTCCGGGAACTCTGGATCGTTGTCGTTGATATCCAACACCAAGATTCTTACCTCGATCGGATAGGTCGGTTGACTCGATAATACGACGAGATCGAATCTGTCGCTGCTCAACGCTTCTCTGTCCAACACCTTGGCCGTGCGTATTTTACCAGTTTCCGGATCGAGAACGAATTCCTGCGGTGGCTCGTTGAATCTATAAGTGAATCCAGGCTTAACCGGTATCAGACCAACGAGAGTTCCCTTCGGCTCTCCCTCCCTGACCTCCAGTTGAACCCTGGTGTCAACGGCTCTGCTCTGCATCGCCAGGCCCATCGTGGCGCTGTCCTGCGGCAACATCGGCGACCTTCTAGGCACCAGCCGCATCACCCTTTGAGGTAGGTTGCGGAGAAAATAGTCGGACGTGTGTTTCTCTTGGCCGTTCGCCTGGCCGCCATTTTGGTCCACCGACAATAGTCCCAGGACCAGGGTTAGGACCATCGATCCCCTTATGATCATCTCTTCTGTCCCTTCAGCGCAACACTGACGCGCCCCCTTCCTTTAGCCAAATTCCTCAGGGTTCGACGACATAAACGTTCGATCGTTACCGATTTTTCTTCTTTCCCCCACCTGTGCTACCACCGCACTTTTGTCCACCACTACCTCTCGTTCTTCTTCCTCATTGTCGCTGCCAATTTCATCCTCGCGTAGCTGTTCGTGTGTCATGGAACAAGATGCTAGAATCCATGTGGAGAACGATCCGGCGAGACTTATTCGAGATCGATAAAGAGCGCGAGAGAGAGAGAGAGGAGTGTTAAAGACGAGGGGAACTGTTGGATAAGTTGAAACGTCTAACGGATTCCATGATTTTTCTTTCCTTTTTCCGTGGTTTATTCCGAAGATGTATCGCGGTTTCCTTCAGGTTCGCCTTTCTTTTTTTCTTTATTTCACGATCCAGAGAATCGAGAGGTAGGTTTGCGAAGCAAACAGGGCTTCTCCAAGTCGAAATCGGATTAAGGATGCCTCGGAGGTGTGGGCGTTTTCTTTTTTATTCCCTCCTTTTTGCTCGTTGCCGCAGAAAGTCAAGTGAACACGAGAGTCTCGGAGCCGACAGAGGGGGCACTGACCCGCAGAGCCGCGCCTCGCGAAACGCGTCTGCAGATGCTGCTGGTGCCTCCCTTGGATCCTCCCGATGCTTTTCCAACCTTCTCACCTCGACACGGATTTCTCAAATGAGAATTGTCAAGTTATTCGCGCGACGCCGCCGTGGTTTCCTTCCTGCGTGTGTGTCGCTTGTAACGCGACGTCAAGGTACGACACTTCTCCTCCGAACGATCAATGTTCGCGGCGAGCACGGGGAAATTTCACAGAGTCAAAGAATCCGATAACTTGCTGGCACACCACTAACTTTAACTTCAGTTGGATAAACTCCCTTCGTTACCAGGTATGCACAAACCACGTGAACGACGAACCAAGCGAGGAAGGATCGCGTACGGTAATTTCTCCTCAGCGTTTATACGAAACACGTTAACATGTTAACCGATCATTCGGATCCGTCATCGTACCGGCACGATGTGCGAATACATGGTCGATAGGTTAAGTTCGTCACACTCGCGTACCACTTGTGTTCTTTGTCGCGTATGCAAACGAGGAAACGTTCGTTTCCACCGGGGGTGAAGAAGATCGCGAGGTGTGTACGAAGACCAGGCGAGCAAAAGACGCGACGATCGGAACGAAGAGAGAACGAACGAACGAACGGACTCGAAGGAGAAGAAGAGGTAATAAAAAACGAACACACGCGCACACAGAGGAGAAGGAGGAGGAGAAGAAGAAGAAGAAGAAGAAGAAGAGGAAGAAGAAGAAGAAGAAGAAGAGGAGGAGAAGGAGGACGAAGAGAGGAGTGAAAAGAAGGAGTAACGTGGGCCGTGAGCACGACGACGTAAGGCCCCGAGAACGTACCACGACGAAGAATATCACCTTCCCGAGGACTGACCTGACTCGACTGAACCGAGACGGTCCCAGAACCTTGCCGCTGCCGCTCGAGAGAAGCATTCTTCGGGCTAGCTGACGCCGTCCCTCTCCGATCCATCGGGCCCAACGTGTGCCCCGGTCTCTCTCGCTCTTTCCTCATTCCTCCCTCTCTCTCTCTCTCTCTCTCTCCCTCTTCTCCCTCTTTCTCTCGCGCGCACGCTACTCCCCCCTCCTCTCCGCTCCACACGTTGCACACCTTCCATCGATATCACTTTTTCTCTTTCTCCGTAGAAACCTTCTGTTCCTCCCTCTTTCTTCTCCACGTTCTCTCTTCCTCGTTCCACCTGTGACGATGTACCTCTCTGTCCTCGTCACTCCTCTTACCATCTCGCTTCCCCTTAACCCTGCCACCCTTTTATCAATAGCTTTTTTCCCGTTTCAACGTTCGACGGTTCGTCTCTCTCTCTCTCTCTCTCGGAAATTCTTACTTTCTCCGTCTTCAACTGTCTCTCCGGTCGGTGCGGTTGTCTCCGTCGAGCGTGTTTTTCTCTCGATAGGTCGTACGAAGGGAGAAGTCCCACAGGTATTTAGGAAAGCCTCCAACGGGCCCCGCTTCTCACCCGTCTCATCGACATCGCTTTTCGCCTCTATCTCGCCGATACACGTAACTCTCTCTGACTAATAATCGGTATCGTTCCTCCTCCTCGTCTAGCGAAGCATCCGCGCGGCCTCTCTTTTTCTCCGGACCCCCCCCCTCTGTCTCTGTCCCGCTTCTTCCAACGGGCCTCTCCCCACCTCTACGCTCGATACGAACAGCCGAGACTAGCCTACTCCCTCTCTCTCTCTCTCTCTCTTTCTCCGTCTTTCTCCGGCTCTCCATCGATAGCACTCTCCGTCCCTTTCTAGAGAAGCATTCGCGGGCCCTCCTTCTCCGGGGCCCAGCTGCGTCCATCTTTCTCCCGCCGGGTCCCTCGAGTATCTCCGTCCCACTTCGTTCCGGTAGTCTTTCCATCTTGCCTACATCGAACTCTGTCCAACACGCGGCAGAGTTTACCACTCCGTGGCCTTTCCTCGTCGTTCCGAAGACACGCTAGTCCAGTCTCGCGCTGGGCCCCCTCCCCTCCCCCTCCCACCGTGGGGCCCTACGCGCTCGCCGCTGCCCTCTCCCCCCCCACCCCTTGCAGTCTTGGTCCCCGAGTGCCCTCCGTAGCGCCCTCGTTCCCCTCGTCTCTGTCCCCGCGGCCGTTATCCTCCCACCTTCGACTCTCTATCCTCGCGCATCCCGGCGTCGTCTCGCGCTGAGATATTCTCCCTTTTGCCCTCGAGGAACGAGCAATGCGGAGGCTCAGGTATGCAAGATGGCCGCCGCTGAGAAGCGTTCGCGACGAGGACCGCTTACGGGCGAACGAGCGAGCGAGAGGTGATCCTTGGACGGAGAAGGAACGGCGTCGGCGGGAGCGAGAGGGGATTCCAGTTGAACTGGTGGAAAAAGGAGGGAAAAGTTGAGATGAATAATGCGCGGGGGAGGGGGGGAAGCGAGGCAACGGTGAGAGAGAGAGAGCGAGTGAGGAGGTGACAAGGGTGTGGGGTGGAAAGAGGGAGGAGGAGGTGGAGGAGGAGGAGGAACGAAGAGGTCCAGAACCACGATGCCGTAGATATATATCCGCGGCCCTATAGCCACTTTTATAACTAATCCGTTACCACGATCGAACGACGAAGCTTTCCTTGCCTCTCTTTCCCGCGCGGTATATGTATACGTACTCTCCCTATCCGCACACAGCGTCAGGCCTTTCCTCCTCCTCCTCCTTTTTCTTCCTCGTCGAAAGCGCCCGGCTCTGGCGTTACACAAACCCGGCTAGAGGATTCTCTTTGGTGTTTTCCTTTAATCTAGTTTACTGGGTATACCCCCGGTTGGCTACACAGCCCTCCGCCCCGCGCACACACGGTATATGTACCGATTGCCGGTATCGATAGCTAACCCGATTTACGCGTCCAACGCCTCCCTTTCCCTTACTTTCCGACTTTTACGTTTCTTTTTACGCACCTTCCTCTGCACCAAAGTTTTTCGTTACTTTCGTAAACGCGTGCGCTGCTGCCGCGAGAAAATCCCGTAACGTCGTCTGCAATCAATTCTTAACTTTCAAGCGATCCAGGGTAATTTTCACGAGGATTTTCCACCGGTAGTCATACCGTGTCGACACTCTGTCGACACCGGCACACGAGGAAATCCCGAGTAACCGTAATTTCGTCCGCGATCAATTCCTAACTTTCTCCACCGCTGATCGTATCCCGTCGACACTCTGTCGACGCCGGCACACAGGATGTCGCTTCCTGTGTCGACAATGCTTCGACAGTGGCAACGACGAACGTGTTAATTTGAAATTTTAAAAAATTTCTTTTTTCCACAGTAAGAAGATTCTTCCTTTCGCGAAAGGTAGACGAAATCGCGAGGTTGTTTTCGATCGTAGAACGTTCGCCGGATAAGAACCGGCTCTCGAACGTTTGAGGTAAACGTTATCTAGCGGAGTGAACGAAATCTCCGCGAGTGAAATGTCACGAGAAATTAGGAGATTCTTAGCGAGCTTTAAACGATGCTTTATCTAAGTGGACCTACTTCGAGCATTCCCGATGGAAACGAAACGACCGTTCGTGTAGAGATACTTTACGGTGGAACCTGTTTACCGTCTTTCGAGAATTTTGTTACACCCTGTTTCGTTATCGTTGTTATCGCTTCGTTGCAAATGTTGTCGCCACTGTTGTTTCCACTTCTTCGTTTCTTCGCGATATTTCCTATTCGAACGGAGAATTCGATAATTGGTCGTACGATCGAGTTGTACCACGTTTTATCGTTCTCAGCGGTTCGATTATCTTCGACCGATTGATTCGTTCGCGATCGATCGATCTAACGAGCGATACGAAAGTGTCGAATTGCCCTGATTCTAGCACGTAAATATTAGGTCGTGTCCCATAAACTCACATCGAATTTTATAATTTAGATCGGTATTTCTAACCTAACCTTTGAATTTGAGAAAAAAGAAAAAACAAGGAAGCACCTTCTCGTTCCACAACATTCTTCTATCTGTCTCTAGGTAAAAGTCTCTATCTTGTCGCTGTGGAATTTCTTTGGATTTTCGTTCAGATATTTTTCACTTCGAAGAAATAGCGAATTTTCACTGCGAGTACCGTTGCTTTTCAAAGTGAAACGAATATAGATTAATGGGCGTTTTATATAGCTTTAATATAGTTTTATCAGGTCGCGTCGCTTCGATATACACGCCAACTTCCTGGTTGGCGAAGGGTTAATTCGAGGTATTTGTCGTGAGGGAGGGTGCGGCAGGATGCCGGTGGTACCGCGTGATTAATATCCGACGTTGAGCGGTGCGGCGGCGCGCGTGCATGTGCCATTTGTTGGTCCGCGATATTCGAAAGGTTACGATCGAAACCGACGACAAACAGTGTATACCTGACATTTATCCGGCTGTTACGAAGTCTCGAATATTGTCAATTTTCACCAATTTACCCTTTTCGTTCGAT